GACACATAAAGATGGAACGGAGTCGGAAAATGACGACGCACAAACCCAAATGGTTGCGCAAGAATCGGTACCTATATAAGACAATAGATGACCGAAATGTACGAAGCTTGGATGATTGGGCAAGCTCCTCCGCCTTCAATTAGAGAATATTTGAATGTGAATATGCCATTCCCCATCCAAGTCTCAACAAGTGACCCGTTAAAACCATCAATGATGAATAATCCACTTTTCATGCCTACTGTCCAAACTAATACAATTCCTCAACCGACACTGGTACAACAATCGAATGATGACCCTATACTCAAAGATCAATACGGCCAAGGTCATGCCCCTAAATTAACTTTCAATGTTCCTAACTCTTACCACCACCAATACAGTTCTCCCGTTGAAGTTGAGAAAAACATTAAGAATAAGGAACATGAAGAAATTGCAAGAAAAATGAGGAGTTTGGAACAAAACATAAGGAATATGCAAGGTCTAGGAGGACACAAAAGTGTCTCATTTAAGGACTTGTGCATGTTTCCAGATGTTCACTTGCCTCTAGGGTTCAAAACTCCAAAATTTGATAAATATAATGGTCATGGCGATCCAGTGGCTCATTTGAGAAAATTCTGTAATCAGTTGAGAGGAGCTGGAGGAAAAGAAGAACTTCTTATGGCTTACTTTGGAGAGAGTTTAACAGGCGTAGCATCAGAATGGTTTATCGATCAGGACATTTCTCATTGGCACGTTTGGGATGATACGGCACAAGATTTTGTCCAACAATTTCAATACAATATTGATATTATTCCCGATCGCAATTCCCTAGCTAATATGAAAAAAAAGCCATCAGAAAGTTTTAGGGAATATGTCATAAGATGGAGGGAGCAGGAGGCTAGAGTCAAACCGCCGATGAAAGACTATGAGTTAATTGATGTTTTTCTCCACGCTCAAGAACCTAACTACTTTCATTATCTTCTCGCCGCAATAGGCAAGCCTTTCACCGAAGCGATTAAGATTGGAGAAATGGTAGAGAATGGCATAAAGTCGGGTAAGATTGTGAGTCAGCAGCCATTAGAGCTACCACACAAGCAATACAAAGAGGTCCGGTAATTTTACCAATCGAAAAAAGAAGGAGGAAGGGTCCATGGCGGCATCTGGATCAAGAGGTGTTCAAATAGGCATGAACAATCCTTATTGTCAAGTCCAACAAGAACAATATAATTCTCCTCGGCATTATTACCCGTCCCAATATGCAGGTCTCAATACTCAGGCATATGTCCGGCCTCCTTCGCGCCAACAATGGCGGGGGCCTGCACTACAAGTTTCTCGCCCACAACAACAAAATTTCCAGGCGCCATATAATCCACGTCCCCGGGCAAACTATACGAGAGAACAAGGTCAAAAAGAAAATTTTACCCCAATTGGGGAATCGTATACGAGTTTGTTACGGAAATTGATACAATTGAGACTGGTTGAACCTGTCAATCCGTACGTTGTCAATCCAAATGCAAGAGGTTTTGATCCGACTGTTATATGCGAGTATCACGCCAACGCTTCAGGTCATAGCACAGAGAACTTTTGGACCCTAAAAAGAGTCATTGAGAAGTTAATTGAGGATAAGGTAATCGAGGTACGCAATGAGGAAGCACTGAATGTCACCAATAACCCACTCCCTGCTCATAATAATGAGCGTGTTGTGGGGATGGTTGGCATTTTTAAAGATTATGAGCAAACAAGTAGAACAAAATTGGAAAGCAAGGTTTTAAGAGAAGAGTCTAGTATGGTTTTAGAACCCATACAAAGGGCACCGATAATTGTTAAAAGTGCACGTTCGAATTCTGGGAACTCGAGGAAGCTAGTGTTGTATGTCCCTGAGTCTATAAAAAGAGGAGACGTACCGTTGAATGGACCAAAATGCTACATTCCTGGTAAATTTTCAACGTTTGATCAAAATCAAAAAGGTATGAAAAATCCAGTTGTGATACAAATTGCAGCACAACTTCCTATCACAAACACCAAGGCCGTTCTGTGGAACTACAACAAAGTCGTCGTTACTCACAAGGGAAAGGATATTGTCGAAGAAACAAATGAAACAAGAAGCTTAACTCGTTCCGGAAGATGTTATGCTCCGGAAGAATTTAGGAGGGACAAACAAATCAAAGAAAATCAGTTGCCGATGAAAAAACCAGTCACTAAGGAAGATGCTGAAGAGTTTCTGAAAAAGATGAAAGCTCAAGATTATTCTGTTATGGATCAGTTGAGGAAAACGCCTGCTCAAATATCTTTATTGTCATTACTCATACATTCTAAAGAACATCGTGAAGTGTTGACCAGAATTTTGAATGAGGCACATATATAAGAAAATATTACAGTAGGTCACTTGGAAAACATGGTCAATCGAATTTTTGAGGTAAATAGAATCACTTTCACTAATGATGAATTGCCCTTGGAAGGATCTGGACATAATAGGGCTCTACATTTAACCGTGAAATGTGAAGAACACTATGTGAAGAGAGTCATGGTCGATGGAGGATCAGGTGTAGACATATGCCCTCTTTCCACTCTACAGAGCTTAAAAATCAACACTGATAGAATTCGTAATAACAATGTTTGTGTATGGGCATTTGATGGTGCAAAACGGGATACTCTTGGCGAAATATACTTAATTGTTACAATTGGACCAACGGAGTTTGGAATCACTTTCGAAGTTATAGACATGGACACGTCTTACAATCTGCTTTTGGGTAGGCCATGGATCCACATGGCAAAAGCTGTGCCATCTACTCTACACCAAGTGGTCAAGTTTGAACATGAAAAACAAGAAATCATTGTCCATGGTGAAGATGATCTCCCAATCACCCGAGATCCTTCAATACCCTGCGTTGAGGCTAAAAGAGGTTTTGAATCCCTCAACTATCAGGCTTTGGAGATAATAACGGCTAATAAGTTCTTAGAAGGAAATCCTATCCTCCAACCTCGTCTGTCCTCTTCTTCAGTCATGGTGGTGGCTCAAATGGTACAAAATGGCTATGAACCCGGAAAGGGGTTAGGTTTGTCGTTGCAAGGAATTGTGAATCCTATCAGTCCAATGGGTAATCAAGATACATTTGGTTTGGGTTTCAATCCAACTAGATTTGATAGAAAATGGGCAAAAGATCGTAAAAGAAATGCTTGGAATATGTCGAAGCCGATCCCCCATATTGCTCAATCTTTCATTAAATCTCAAGGTGAACCGTGTCCAGAATTACCAATCCAAAATGATGTGGATGAAATGTGCCAAGGTATCAAGGAAATGTTTTATGAGGTAAATATGACTCAGAGGGGTGAGGGCACTAGTCATATGGATGTGCAGTTTATCGGCCCGAATGTTCAACTCAATAACTGGAAAGCCACTCCTCTCCCTACAAAAAAGGAGTCATGGTAGTTTTGTTTTGCTGTTTTTTTATTTTATTTTTATTGGATTATTCTCAGGGTTGTAATTCAAACATTCTAGTTGTTTCGCTTTATTGTTAACCCTTCTATCCTTTCCCATTCAATGCAACAAAGTTCTAGTCATCTTCTGTGTTCCTACTCTTTCTAATATTTGCCATCTTATTTTCATTTCAGTTACGTTAACTTTAATAATATGACATACATGCGGAGTTTACAATTAGATCCTAAAAAGTTGTCTGATCTCATAACAATGAATCCTAAGTCTAAGGAATATGATGAAGATGAAGCTGATGAAGAAATTAAAAGGGGTTTGGATCAATTTGAAAATAAGCCTAAACCTAATTTAGGTGAAACAGAGGTGTTTAATTTGGGAACTCCCGAAGAAGTGAAAGAAATAAAGATAAGCATTCATGTCGATCAAACTATTCGAGATGACATAATTCAAGTTTTAATTGAATACAAAGATGTCTTCGCTTGGTCATACGATGACATGCCTGGGTTAAGTGCTTATTTGGTAGTTCACAAACTTCCCATACATCCTGATTTTCCACCTGTCCAACAAAAGCAGAGAAAATTTAAGGCAGATACGAGCGATAAAATCAAAGAGGAAATCATGAAACAACTGAATGCAAAATGGACCAGGGTCGTCCAATACACTACTTGGTTGGCTAATGTTGTGCCAGTACCAAAAAAGGATGGAAAGATCAGAGTTTGTGTTGATTATCGAGATTTAAACAAAGCAAGTCCAAAAGACAATTTTCCACTACCCAACTTTCATATCTTGGTTGACAATTGTGCTAAACACGAGATTCAATCTTTCGTGGACTGCTACGCCAGATATCACCAAATTCTCATGGATGAAAAAGACGCTGAAAAAACTGCTTTCACTACCCCGTGGGGTACATATTGTTATAGGTTCATGCCATTTGGTCTAAAAAATGCAGGGGCAACCTACATGAGAGCTATGACTACAATATTCCATGACATGATGCATCAAGAAGTTGAGGTGTATGTCGATGATTTCATCATTAAGTCTAGAACGCAAATTGACCATGTGCGTGATCTAAGAAATTTTTTTGAAAGGTTGAGAAAGTACAATCTCAAGCTTAATCCGGCTAAATGTGCATTTGGAGTTCCATCTTGCAAGCTTTTAGGTTTTATAGTTAGCCGAAGAGGCATTGAATTAGACCCCTCCAAGATAAAGTCCATTCGAGAATTGCCACCTCCAAAAACCAGAACTGAAGTCATGAGTTTTCTGGGAAGGTTAAACTATATAAGCCAATTCATCGCTCAACTCACTACTACATGCGAGCCGATATTCAAGTTATTGAAAAAATATGCTGCTATTAAATGGACAAGTGAGTGTCAAAATGCTTTTGACAAAATTAAGTAATATTTAGCAAATCCTTCGGTACTGGTCCCCCAGAGCCTGGTAGGCCTTTGTTTTTATACCTCTCGGTAACGGATAATTCTTTTGGTTGCGTTCTAGGACAACATGACGTCACAGGGAAAAAGGAAAAAGCCATCTATTACTTGAGCAAAAAATTCACATCCTATGAGGAAAAGTACACTCTATTAGAAAAAACATGTTGTGCTTTAACTTGGGTCGCCCAAAAATGAAGCACTATTTTTTGTCCCACACCACTTACCTCATATCTCAAATGGATCCTCTGCAATATATTTTTCAAAAAGCCATGCCGACGTGTAGGTTGGCAAAATGGCAGATTTTGCTTACCGAATTTGATTTTGTGTATGTTACTCGCACCACCATGAAAACACAAGCGTTGGCCGATCATCTGGCAGAGAATCCCATTGATGATGAATACAAACCCTTAAACACATACTTCCCTGATGAAGAGATCAACTCTATTGAGGAAGAAATTCCTGATAATGACCCCGTATGGAAATTATATTTTGATGGGGCCGTCAACAAAAACGGAGTGGGTATTAGGATAGTTCTTATCTTACCAAGTGGTTGTCATTATCCTTCCACAGCACGACTTCGATTCTTTTCTACCAACAACACAACAGAATACGAAGCTTGCATCATGGGTTTGAATACGACAATAAATCTGGATGTACATGAGCTCTTAGTCTTAGGGGATTCTGACTTGCTCATTCGACAAGCTCGAGGCAAATGGGAAACTCGAGACATTAAGCTCATACCGTACAAACAATGTTTAGAAGATCTCATCAAAAAATTCAATTCCATTGAATTTAGATATATTCACAAGTTTCACAATGAGTTGGCCGATGCTTTGGCCACCTTAGCATCGATGCTTCCATACCCAGGTAATGCCTACATTGACCCGTTGGAAATCCAAGTTAGGGATCAACATGGTTATTGCAATATAATTGCGGTAGAGGCAGATGGTGAGCCTTGGTATCACGACATTAAAAAGATTATAAAAGCTAGAGAATATCCACTGCATGCTGATAGAGATCAAAAAAGAACTATTAGGCAACTTGCTAATGGGTTCCTCTTAAGTGGCGATATCTTATACAAAAGGACTCCGGATTTGAATTTATTACGATGTGTGAATAATCAAGAGGCGGAAACAATTATGAATGAGGTACACTCAGGGGTATGTGGCCCACACATGAATGGTTACGTCCTAGAGAAAAAAGATTATTCGGGAAGGGTACTATTGGTTGACCATGGAGAGAGATTGCTTCCAATTTGTTCGCAAGTGCTATCAGTGCCAAATTTATAGCGACTTGATCACTCACCCCCTTTAGAGTTGCATCCTATGTCTGCTTCATGGCCTTTTGTTTCATAGTGAATAGACGTTATTGGGCGAATAGAGCCAAAAGCATCTAACAGTCATCGGTTTATTTTAGTTGCCATCGATTACTTTACCAAATGGGTAGAAGCTGTCACATTCAAATCAGTTACCAAGAAAGCGGTGGTGGACTTCGTTCATTCCAACATCATATGTCGTTTTGGCATACCAAAAATAATTATTACAGACAATGCAATGAATCTCAACAGCCACTTGATGAAGGAAGTTTGTGAGCAATTTAAAATTGTTCATCGTCATTCAACCCCTTATCGTCCCAAAGCAAATGGTGCTGTTGAAGCTACGAATAAGAACATCAAGAAGATTCTTAGGAAAATGATGCAAGGATCTAGACAGTGGCATGAGAAATTACCCTTCGCTCTCATGGGATATCGCACGACTGTTCGTACGTCAGTCGGTGCAACTCCTTACTTATTGGTTTATGGAACTGAGGCTATCATACCCACAGAAGTTGAAATCCCTTCTCTTCGAACCATTGTTGAAGCAGAAATTGAGGATACAAAATGGGTTAAATCGAGGTTAGAATAATTAGCGCTGATAGAAGAAAAACGATTGACATCAATTTGTTTTGGTCAATTATATCAGCAGAGGATGGCTCGGGCATATAATAAGAAAGTACGCCCAAGGAATTTTGAAGTGGGTCAACTTGTTGTGAAACGTATCCTTCCCCACCAAGACGAGGCCAAGGGAAAGTTTGCTCCAAATTGGCAACGCCCTTATGTTATTAAGCAAGTGCTATCCAAAGGAGCTCTGCAATTGGCGGATATGGAGGGAAAGGCAATTGACACAATTGTCAATGCAGATTCGATCAAGAGACACTACATTTATCACTCCTCATTTGACACTACATTTCATTAGGGTTCGGTCTAATCACTCAATAAAAAGATAATCATGTTCTTCAGTTCTCTAAAGGTAGAGACATTATGTTGTCGAACTATGGAGAAAATGAAACAGAGAGTGTTGTGAAAACCCTTACGGGCACTATAAGACGATAGATTGGTGAAAAATCATGAATGGTGTTACTGATCGAATGATGACATTTTTTCTGTACATGAGCGCCATCATGATAAAAGTCAAGCTTAGACTGAAAGGTGCAACATTGTTTCCTGAGATTCAGATAACTCGAAAAAGATCAAACTTTCGGTCCAATTGCATGTCATGTTTCAAAGTTGTCACGTACTTTCAGATAAGATTCTTTTCACTCATTTAAACATTTTCTTATTTATCTTCTACTTCTAAAGACACAATTTTTCCTTCATAACCCTTTCATTCGTGTCATTATTGCTTGTGTTTCTTTGAGTTTTTATTTTTCTTTCTCAGCATCAACTCGTGTCAAGTGAGAAAATAAAATTAAATAAGCAAAATTGACTATGGTATTTCCAGTTGAATGTTGGGAACATGCACAATATTGGCTAGGGCTGTGAACCTATCGAGAAAATAAATATCATAAATCGATACCGAGTGAAAATATATAAAGCGAAAGTCGCTTGGGAACGAATGAACCACACAACATGCACAAAATGGTGATGAGTTAGAATGTCAATGATAAGTGTTTCAAGGAAAGATAAGGATTGTTTTTAAAACATCTACAAGATATTCGCATAATCATCAATGGGATGAATCTTCCAAGCGGGGCGGATCCAGAAGTCAAGCTTTACAAGATATTCAAAGTCACGAACCAACCACCATGTAGGAAAATTAACAATACATTTTTTGACTTAAAACAGGTATAAGGCAGAATCATGTAAATAGTTTGCAAGAGACAAACGCCGCGATGGTAAGTTCTTGAATCTTTACTTTCCATATAATATGCGTGATAAAATAATAATAACAAAAAAATGATTTTTTTATTGAATCTGGGGCATTTTATTTTATTTTTAGTTTGTTCAATATACAAATAAAAATAAAATAAAATAACAATAACCCCTGGTTGCATATAGGGAACAATAACCCCTATCCTATTTTTTTCTTCACAGGGCACCATAACCCCTGGATTGCATATAGGGCACAATAACCCCTATCATTTTTTGTCTTCGCAGGACACAATAACCCCTGGTTGCATATAGGGCACAATAACCCCTATCCTATTTTTTTTCTTCACAGGGCACAATAACCCCTGGATTGCATATAGGGCACAATAACCCCTATCCTATTTTTCATGTCTTCACATGGCACAATAACCCCTGGTTGCATATAGGGCACAATAACCCCTATCATCATTTTTATGTCTTCACAGGGCACAATAACCCCTAGTTGAACACAATAACCCCTATCATATTTTTCATGTCTTCACAGGGTACAATAACCCCTGGATTTCATATAGGGCACAATAACCCCTATCATTTTTTTATGTCTTCACAGAGCACAATAATCCCTGGTTGCATATAGGGCACAACAACCCCTATTTTATTTTTGATGTCTTCAGAGGGCACAATAACCCCTTGATTGCATATAGGGCACAATAACCCCTATCATTTTTCTTCACAGGGCACAATAACCCCTGGTTGCATATAGGGCACGATAACCTCTATTTTATTGTTTTTTCATGTCTTCAGAGGGAATAATAACCTCTGGGTTGCATAGGACACAATAACTCCTATCTTATTTTCATGTCTTCACAGGGCACAATAACCCCTGATTGCAATTTGGGTACGAAATTCCCTTTTGTCTTTTTTTTATATTATTACATTTTGTAATAGGCTACAAAAACATTATTTTTATTATTAGTATAGACTTTTATAGCTTTCATCAATAACTCAAAAAATTTCCTAGTGTAAACTAGGTAGAAAAATTTGTTTTGTGTGCAGGTTTCTACATAGTACACAAATTTGCAGTTCAAAAATAATAGAATTCATCCTTTCAAGAAAATAAGTTTTCAAGAATATCACGCGGAAGAACATCAGTAGCTGAAGTCAAGTCATGAAGTTTCAAGTCTTAAACTCAGAAGTCCAGAGCAAAGTTCGGAATAGATGAACCTTTCTAAAGAGGGTGAAGCGATATCTGAGAATCCAAAATGAAGACTTAGCACTATCGGAATAGATAGGATTTCATATCTTTCCTTCTGCATTTTGTTTTTTTTCATGTAATAGCTGGAGCTACGAACCAGAATCTCGACAAAACCTCACTCGACTACCTAACTCATTGGAACTACGCCTGACTCCTTATCATCTCAACATAGGATAAGTAGTTTTTAAAAGTTAGGACACAGTCAAACCTCTTCTCTACTATAAATTTTTCACATAAATATTTCAGTAAAAAATTAAACACATTGTTCACGTCTTTGCATGAAAACTCGTCATGTTTTTCAAGCAAAGAGGGGCATACTGTGAACACCTAACTTTTTATTAAAATATAAAGAGTCAAACATCAATTTTTTTAAAAAAGGTTATATTTAAAATAAATAAAAAATAAATAAATTGTGTAAATTACTTTAATAATAAAAAATTATGAATTTATGGTATTTGTTTTAAATCTTCAACTTTTAATTAGTTTAAAAATAATGGTAGAAGAAGAAAAAAGGGGAATCCTAAATATTCAAATTACCTTCCCCTTATCCTAATTATTCCCAACTTCCTAACTTATCTTACTAAAAAATCTCATCTTATTTATTTTTTATTTATTTTTTTTTCTTTCTTCTCTCTCTTTGGACGTTTATTTCACTTTTTTTTTAATTTTCTATTATTTTTTTAATCTTATATCCATCTTCATCTCAACCCCAATCCCCTCAACAATATTTTAAATTAAATCCTAATCCAACTCTATTACGTTCCTTTAATTAGCACCAAACTCTCAGCCAAAATTATTATAAAAACACGTTCAGTTGAGAAGAAAAAAGGGAGACAGATACACAAATACACAGACACACAGATACAAACAGATACAGAGAAATACAGAGAGGAAAAGAGAGAAATATATAGTCATTCTTTTGAGAATTAGGTCAGAGTTAGAGTTTTTTTGTTGTGGTTCCAAATTCGTGGCTCAAATTAGTAGATCATAGAAGTTAGTTTTCGTGATATCCATCTTCGCAGCGAGGTAATTCTAAACTCTCGCATTATTTAAATATAATGTTGTATGAAAATTTGAATCTAATAATATGAAGTTCTTTGAATCGTATTTTATTACTATGCAATATCATTATTTGATGCATGTTAAGATTTTTTAAAATTTTTTTTCTCAATCTGAAAAACGAAAAAAAATGTTTCTTGCTAAAAAAAATAATATAAAATAAAAGACGTATCATACCTTTTTTGCATCATTATTCGTGTCTGTTATTTTTTTAGATGCAATTTATATCAAAGTTTATTTTGTGATGTTTAATACCTAATGTTTTTTAGCCTAGTTTTTCACTAAAAAATAAAATAAATTTATAAACTTGTTAGATTAGGATGTAAACTAAAATTTTTAATTGATTAGTAGTTTAAAAACTTATGCGTAATACGTTTCAATTTTTTATTTTTTTTACACATTATTTGGATCAAAAATTATCTTTAGAATAAGTATAAGACAATTATCTAATTAGAATTATTAAAGTTTATCATTGAGAGAATATATAAATATTATTCAGAGTCATAACTAAAATTAAAAAATCATGGGAAAGAGTAATTAAAAAAAATGAAAAAAAATCCATAAGAATAAAAAAGAAGAAGAAGAAAGCATAAAAAATAACATAATTTTTTTTTCTAAAAAAAAACAGAAACAGAAAAATAAAAAAATAAAAAAAGAAAACGTGAAAAATCAAAAAAAAAATAAGAAGAGGAAAGTAGAATGAAAATAAAAATAAAAAATATAAAAATAATAAAACAAAAAGTTGAAATAATTAAAAAAAAAGAACGTAAAAAAAAAGATTAAAAAAACTTTCTCAAAGTAAAACAAATATTATAAAAAAAAAACTCTAAGAAAGACAAACAGAATGTTGTTAAAAAAAACAAAACTAAAAACGTGCAAAAGGAAAAATAAAATAAAAAAATAAAAATAAAAAGAAATTTTTTTTAAAAAAAGAAATTGTTTAAATCTGGTTAGATATTTCTTTTTGCTAGAATTAATTATAAATTTCATAAATTTTATCTCTTATTTTTAATCTAATTTTTTTCTTATAAAAAACAATTCTAAATTAACTTGAACTCTAAAAATATTTTTCCTACACAAATTCTAATTCCTAACTATTAAACACTTATATAAATTCTACACATAATAACATTAAATATATATATATATATATATATATATATATATATATATACACAAAAAAAAATGTAATAAATAATAATAATAATAATAAATAATAAATAATAAATAAATATATAATCCTAAATTAACTTGAACTCTAAATATCTATTCCTAAGGAACTAGATATCAATATATATCCTACTTATAATATCATTAAAAAACTAAAAACATATAAATATAAGCACAAAAAAATATACGAATGTTCAACTAATAAAGACCATTTAAAATAAATAAGCCAGATTAAAATAAGTTTAGAATAAATCTGAGAATAAATAACAATTTTATTATTAAGTTAAATAATACAATAAAAAAAATTAAGTCAAGTCATACCAAAGTTAATGAAGCGACCGTGCTAGAACCACGGGACTCAAGGGGTGCCTAACACCTTCCCCTCGGTCAACAGAATTTCTTACCCGGATTTCTAGTTCGCAGACCAATAAAAATAGAGTCAAATTTTCTTTTGATTAGGGATTTAAATAAGATGACTTGGAATACCAAAATTCAATTCCATGTGGCGACTCTAAATAATAATTATCCCTTTTCAAAACGTCACTTTAATTGAAAAACTCTTTTTCTTTCGAAAAATAAAAATCAAAAAAATTATTGAAAAAAAAAAGGGGGAATGACACCTGACATTTTGAAAAATTTCCCTTATTATTAAGCCATTCATATATAATAACGATAACTTTGACTGAATGTCATTCTTTTACGTAAAGGATAATAATAATTGTATACCAAACTATTAATAATAACTATAATTTTGATTAAGAATACTGTCACTTTTTGAAAAATGATAAGTATAATTTTAAACCAAACTATCAATGACAAAGGATAATTTTGACAATCAATGTCATTCTTTTTGGGAAATGATGATAACAATTTTTGACTTAATTATTAATGATATGGGTAATTTTGACCAGTATTGTAATTCCTTTTGAAAAACGTTACGAAAAATTGAAAACTAATTCTTGACCATTTTCTTCTAGTGCTCATTCGTTCCTATAAAGTCCACAACACCTTAATCAATTTTTGTGATCATTTTGATACAATTTGATAAGTAAACTTCTTGAGATACTGATTAGGAATCATGAAGAACTTCTCCAATGTAGTTGTCATTGCTTTTTTCCTCTTCATTATTCTTGGTAAGTTATATTTTATTTAATTAATGAAGTGTTCAGGAAAATTCGTGAATCTATTGCATATAATATTTCCAACGTACGTAGTAGTATGTATATATGATTATAATTTGATTTAGAATCTTTTGTTTAGTGAGGACTTGAATATTTCCTTATTGATTATTGAAATTTAGGCAAATGATAAAGACATGAAATCCATGAATCATCTTATGTATAAAATATAAAGTTAAATAGTATTTTTTTTGTCAGACTACTTGTATAAACAAAACAACATATCAATACAAAAGTTGAACACCTGAATTCAATTCTTCTGAACATCTGTTATTTTTTTACAATTTATTTTACTTCTTGAAATGAAACAGTTCCACCAATTTGAACTTATAAGAATCAACCTTACTTTATCTTAAGGTGAATCATGTTGTTGTCATATATCTTAAAATGTCTTAATTTTGAAAAAAAAAATATAGAAAAAATTAAACCAATTATACCTAAAAAATTTTTTTTTGACTTTACAAGTGTTTTATCTTTGTTTTTCTCTTCCCATGTCTCATATTCATTAAACAATTAATTGTTTTTAAATCTTATTCTCTCTTTTTTTGTGTCCAAAACAAATGTAGTTACTACAACAAAAGGAGCTAAAGTATGTCTATTTCCCTTTGAAGTCCCCCAACCTTGTGACTCAAATAAGTGCGATACCCAATGCAAGCAACAATTTGGACAAAAGCCCCCAGGTGCTATCAAAGGGCCACTTCTTGGAGGAAGTTGCATTGGTGAAAATTGTTTTTGCTCTTTTTGTTGCAAAGAGAAATGTGTTGATTTACATCGATGAATTCTCTTACTTGCTATTACTTTAAACGTTCATATGGACATTTGAATGAAATATATAAAAATTTAAATCAAAAGTTTAGTTGAATTTGATTGTTGGAGAGTTATATGTTGATTGCTCAAGTCTATGTAACATGAAATGAACGAATTTATTTTGTGGGTTCAAAAGGCACAAAACATTATTTTGGAAATTATTTCAAGCAAATGTGCATTCCCTCCTTATTATCAAATGAATAACCCCATGATATGCTTAATATTATAGCTAAGAGATGATGTAATATACGTTTGAATGAAAATACAATAATTCAATAAGATTGGGACGAAATTCAATAGAGAAAAATCAAGAAAAGCTACCGATCGGATTAATACTTGACTAAAAGTCTAATTTCTATCCCCTAACCATAGTGAAATTGTGTGTGAATTAATAAATCAAATTGCTAGTTGAATTAATTGTAAAACTATTACGATTAAAGAACTAGGGTTGGATCCCCTTTTACGGAATACGTCATTTTAGGTTTCAATGAAACTGTAGCTAATTTGATTTTCTAGATATATACTCGATCCATATACCATGACACAATCTCTGTCAAGAATAGAACGATTGCTCTCAATTTGTTTTATCCAAATCTGTATGAGTTATTTAAAAAGAACAGTCGATATATACCAAGTAAATAAAATATATTTTTAGAAAATCTATCAAACAAGATTTAACACTGGAGTTCTTGCTAATTATTAGAGCCGTCAATATAGGTTACGCCCGTTGGCTCGGCCTGACCTAACCCGAGATTTAATAGGGGTTCGACTAAGATTTTTGAAGCCTATTTAAGAAAAAAAAAATTTAGCCCGTCATGAATAAGTTTGTTAATTTGAGGGGCTTGAGAAATGTTGGTAGGGCCGGTCCGTGGACCGATAAAAATTTATTGAAAATCATATATGTATATAAACGAGAACCATATGTCCGCCTACGTAGTGTCACCACAATTAAAAATTTTCTTGTAAATTTATTTATTTCCAAAATTAGCCTTCCTTTTTCATGAAAAGTGACTTATATGAAAAGTTGTGAGTTTAATGAAGAGTAGTGACTTTTATCAAAAGATGTCACTTTACTAAAGAGTTGCGACTTTTATCAAAAGTTGTGACTTTTACAAAGTTTGTGACTTTAATGAAGAGTTTAGACTTTATGAAAAGTTGTGACTTTTATGAAAGATTGTGCACTTTCTAAAGGGTTGTAACTTTTCCAAATATTTGTAACCTTGTTGATAAGACACAATAAAGATTTGTTCACACTACCCTTTGTTGCTTTTAAATAGTGGGATTTCCTGTCATTTAAAACAAAAAAAATTATGATCTTCTTCTTCTAGTTTCGCAAAATTAAATATTCGCATACTTTGATTCTGTTGAGTGACTTACTAACACTACTTTTTTTTATTGATGTAAGTTGGTGAATAAAATAGTTTCATCATGAGAGGATGTAATTTTTTAAACCTCTTGTATTTGAGCGGAATAGTTTTCTTAAAGTGACATTGTGCATTAAGTAGCTCAATATTTCCCTTCTATTTCATTATATTTTTTTACATATCCTAGTATGTCTATTTATACTCATTAATATATACTTATGATATAAATTGTTATTTTTGAGTACATGTTTTAAACTCTGTTGTTTATGTCCGGTTATATTGAACATATACATTGTGCAGAAAAAAATTATTATACTCAGTTCCAAGAAGTCATATTTTTTATTCTATGTTAAATTCTATAACTTAAAAATACTATATGTAAGCTTACATATTATCTATTTTTACATAGATATGAAATTTCTCACTTATCAATTGAAGAAATATGCAAATTCAAAAGTTATAGTTGCTTTCATCTTCAAGCATAATTTTTTTTTGAATATTTTTTTAAAAAAAATGAATTTTCTCCTAAGACATCACAACTGTATAATCTATGCCACTAAATGTTTCTTTCTATTACGCGTTTTTGTGTATATATTCTTCTTGATTTTCCTTTTAATGTTAATTGAAGAACCAATGATTTATTATTTCGTGAGAAATTCATTCATTAGAGGTTCTCGAGTTATGTGATAATGACAAATAATGAAATTTATGTTGGAATATTGCTAATATTTTTTTATGAACCTATTTTTCTATTATTTTTAATGTATGAATATTATAAGAATATAATTTTCATGCTCAATGCAATATTATTTATGACCTCGCGAAACGCAGACAAATTACCTAGTATAATATAATATTAAAATTTAAAATTAAAAAGAGTGCAAGTTCAAATCAATTAAGTTAATATTTTAATTAGATATTTATGCTTTTACCTGAAAAAAATACTTACTAAATATTATAAAGATAATTTTATTTGTGTATTTGATTTACAAGTAGTAACATTAACATCATATAATAATGTTTTATTAATATTTATGATAATATTTTTAAAATATAACTTATAATTTATTCTAATAATTATACAAAATATAATATTTGAAAAAGTGGGAGACTTGGCAAGCCTGTAGCCCGCATACTTATGGGTTGGACCACCCGTTTTCTAGCCACACCAAAAATGGGCTAGCCCGTAACATGTCAAAGCGTGTATGGATTAGCCCAAATTGGGTAGGCTAGCCCATATTAACAACGCTACTAATTATTCCACCAAATCCTAAAACTAAAGTATCTTAACATAGGTTACTATGTGCAAACACCAACAAAAAATAACTTAATTTTCTAAAACTAAACAAATTGTAAAATTACTACACATATATTGAGTTCACAACCTCAATAGATTATTTAGATACTTAATCTGGGGTGTATTTTGATAACACTCAAATTAGTCACAAACCTATTAAATTTCTACGCGGTTTCTAGCAATATAAATATCGTACAAAAGAGTCGGGATGGAATCGTACAAGGATCGATATATTTCAAAGAATTCAATTAGGAAATTACACATATATACCAATTCATTGTAGCAATGGGTGGATGATTAAACCAAGTTAAATTAAAGTGTTTTGGAATCAATTATTGCAATTCACAAAAATAGGAATGTAAACAAGTAAAAGATGATCTAGGGGCGTGGGAGTTGGTAAAAGCACCAGATAAGGGTACAACTGCTTGCTCAATAATACTAGGCGAACATGGATAGACTGGGTAATCATCAACGACATAAATCTTCTTTTAATTTCAATGCATCATATTATAGAATCTCTTTTTGGTCTCATCCATTTAAAATACACATCAACACGATACCTTACTAAAATCTCTCTTTCAAGCGAATTGGACAAGTAGAATTGAACTACAATTTCTGTTCCGAGCAAACTACAACAATCAAACCTTATTTGTGAGTATTAATCTATTTATCCAATTCAATTAATCTCTTTCAAGAATCAATCGAAGATCCATGCTAGAATTAAGTTTGCAACCTTAACACATAAACTGAGCTCATGCTAAATAACTCAAATTCATGAATAAATAATAGAATTACATAGCAAGACACTAGACTCACTAAATTAAATCAACACTAAACTCCATTGTAATGACCAAGTTTCGCCGTGATAGAAAAACCAACGAGAAAAGAATTGGATACAATAGTAGTAACTTGGAATCCTAGCCTAGACAATATTTGGAAAAAATCTGAGTTAGTAAGGTCTAGGGAAATCTAGTAAGGAATGATAATTATGAATTTGCTTACATGAATGGATAGCTAAGACGATAAGGAACCCATACCACTTTATAAAATTAAATCCGGGCGAGTAGAACTCTAAAAGCTGATTTTAGTGTGAATGGGTAACATTCTGTCTTAGTCAATCAGCCAGAGCAGGATTAGGGCGATAGAGCGGGGCCGCAAGAGCGGGATGAGATCCGCCTTAGCAGACAGACATGACTTAAAGTAGTAAATAAACCACAAAAATCAGCATTATTTGACTTTGAGAGCTAAGGTACGATCCTAGGGGTTTTGTTGATGGTTTTCCACCTTTGTTGAGGCTTAAATCAAGATTTTAACTCCTCGAATCAATTTTTTCGATTTGTAAAACCTATTTTATTGGGTTATTATCAATGGGGCAGTGTTTTGATGTGAGGATTATGGTGGAAAATCCCTAATTTAGGTAGGGGTACCAAGGGTTTGGTCTAGAGTTACTAGGTTTGTTATACTAGAGATATGCATGTGGTAGTGTCAAAACAATGTAAAGGAATTTTAAAATGTGTAGTTCATTAGGTTGACCGAGGGGAAGACAATTATTATCCTAGCTAAGGGAACTATAATACTGCATGTGCTATAGCTGGAAATCGTTGGGGAAATTTAGAAAAGAAAAGAACCTCATAAATTTTCACCACACTAACTCTCTAGTGGGAGAAGCATTACTATAACCAACTAACAATGTAAAGCTACGAAAGCAAGTTTAATTGACTAAATTACTTTTTAATGAATTATCATCAAGTCCGAAAGTTTAATAAAACAAATGAACTAACACGAACGCAGAAATACAACTCCTAGAACCTGAAAGTGACCAAAATTTTAACAACGAAAAGTCTACGAACAAAGGGTACAACCCCGAGATGAAACAACAACCTTAGCTAAATAGTCTGAGTCTGAAGAGAGTACACTCAAACAAGGGAGGTCCCTGAAAGACTAAAAGAACGAACTCACCCTTGAATTAGGTCACGCTCAATAATCTCCTAGTTGAGGTCTATCAATAGAAGTCAAAATATGTCATATACTCAACAAAAATAAGAGTATGTGAAGTATCAATACACAACCACAATGTACAAGTAGGATCACACGGCTATCCTACTAAGTGAAACATATATAAGTAATTACAAAAATATGACCATGTAACATACCGAATATCAATAACGTTGATGAACATAATCTACATATCATAAGAGAACCAAACGACGACCACTGTAAAAATCCACTTGTGCAATGTATGGATGAAGTCTAATTCCCCACTCACACTAAGTAGAACTTTTTTGAGATTTCACAAGTTACAGTCTATGTTCATGTTTATAACAATAATGGAATATACAACATGTCAATGGTAATCTCATGGAACCCAATTCAATGGTCCTCTCATGGAACCCA